AAAAAAAAAAAAAAAAAATCGTGTAAAATTCCAAGTAGGCAAGCCGGTAAAAGTGACCTGTTTTTGCCGGTAATAGGACTAAATCTCAGGTTTCTTGAGACTTACAGGACCTTTTCTAAAAGTTGGTCAGTTAAGGACTAAACCTCAAATCGAGCCACTTAAAGGACTAAATCTCTAATTTTTCCTAAAGTAAATATTGAGATGATACTGAAAACTACACAAACACCATAAATTCCGCTGCCTCAGAAATTTGTAGTGCTGGACTTACAATTTGACAAATATGAGATCAATGCCAAAATATTATTAACATGGATAAAATATCTAAAATAATCTATATTATTCATGAAAAATGTGTGAACTCGCCTAAATATCCTAGATGTATAAAACATTTGTCCAAACAACATAGTTAAAAGTATGCCTAAAGAACATTAGTAATTAAACATTACCTCAAAATTATAGACCAAGATATAAAATAAATAGTGAGCTAGATATAAATATTATACAACAGAGTAAAAATATCTAGAATATTCTATTTAATTTATTCTTAAAAAATGTGTGAAATCATGGTATATGTAAAAAAATTTGTCGAAACAACATAGTAAATATGCCTAAAAATTATATAGTAAGATATAAAATAAATAGTGAGCCCAAGAATTATGATACCCATAATTATGCAAACCACACCTTCTGCTACATAAAAAAAAGAGTTGTTTTTTGTTTCCTTAAAAAAAAAAAAAAAAACAAGCATACGCTTATCAGTTTAAATTTGAAATACGCACATCAATTTAAAATTAAAATTTAATACTGCATCTAATGCTAGTTTTTTAAATAGTATGTATTTAATTTTTTTGAGGGAATTTATTTCTTGCTATAAATTTATTTTTAAGGATAACAGTTGAAATGAACAACTTATAATTGAATAAACGGTGGTTTTTTTAATAGTATGTATTTAATATTTTTTGCAGGAATTTATTTCTTGCTATAAATTTATTTTTTAAGGATAGCAGTTGAAATGTTGTTGACAATGTCTGTAGATCTTGTAATTGGTTCATGTGTAAATGAAATCTTTTCTTTTTCTTTTTGTTGTAATATAGATTGACAATATGTAAAATCTATGTGTAAAATAGACAAAGATAGAAACAGTAGAAGAAGAAGAGAATAAGAGAGAAGAGATACGCCGTCAAAAACCATCATCTTATTCATTCACTTGAGCCCTATATATAAGGGAATACAATATACATGACTAAAGACCTAATGGGCTCCTGGCCCATACCTACAAATCCTATATCTAGGTAATGTCCATAAATTAATATTTACAACACTCCCCCTTGGACATTACCGCATCATGTCTATGCCTCGTTAAAAACCACGCTACAAAACCCAGTGGAAAAAAATAGTCGAGGAAAAGAGTACATGATACATGCAAATTTATGTGTTACACTTGTTGCCTCGTTAAAAGCCTTACTAAGTAAAACCCAATGGGAAAAAACTTAGTCAAGGGAAAAAGAGTACAACACCGGCCAACAGGGCCTAATCTTCAGGATTATAATTAACCTTCCGGGTTCGATTTTCGAGATTTATTTATCGCTCCCCCTGAAGGGAAAACCTTTTTAGTTACATTCATAATTGTATGTTGCTCCCCCTCAAGGCAAGAGTTTCTAACATAAAATCGTCATTTGTTGCTCTTCTGAAGTTAATATAGATTCAAAAATATCATCAAATGTATTTTTATAATTTATTTGTGTAACACAAACCAAGTTATCTTCAGGATAAATATGGGGAAATTTCAATAACCAATGGTAAAGAGTTAATACCATTTGAGAGGTATATAACCAATTGAGGACCCATACTTCGGGGATCGATTATACAATTGATGTCCTTATCCACCAATATCATATATAAAGTCCAAAGATAAATCAACATACATAAAGAATAATGGGATATTCTCAATATTTATCATGATATCTCTTTAAAGAGTGATTTAGTAAATCTTGCTAGCAAATTCATCACGAATGCAGTATCAGGCCTGATGCAGTTTGCGAGATAAAAGTTTAGCACAATTGCGCTTGATAAATAAACTTCATGTCGTTTGTGGACTTCAAGTCCATTAGAACTCCAGGTCCTATAATATCCTCATTTGTTTCTTTGGATCTTTGTGAAATGCCAAATATTTGACACACATTGGTGTTACAATTTTACATCTTTAAAAGAGATTCAAGTAGATTGGTTGGGTCGAAAATATTCCTTCTAGGAGATGCTCGATCTACAAGTCGAGATAATACTTTTTTGGTATTTAACCAAAATTTTCATTCTTACTCCGTCTATAAGCATGAGCTAACTTATTTAATCTTTTACATAGTGTTCACCACATAGTCTATTTGACCGAGATGATCATTTTGTATATTATCATTATGTACACAAGGTTCTACCTCGAATTTTTCTTACTTTACTTCTTCTGAAAGAATTTAGTTAGTTGTACCACATCTTACCAACAACTTCAAATAAATAAGCTATTTATTATTTAATTATCTTTCATCTCGGGTACTCGAGTCCACCCAGGACTTTCACATATGACTCAGTAGTCATGGTAATATTGCTGCCATAAATATTAACTTGCGGAATCATTGATAATGAG